ACTCAAACAGTTCAGAGGCACTCATGAGCTCAGCAGTATTTGTAGTCCCCAACAAAGTGAATTCAGAGGTCTGGCAGACATCTGAGCAAAGACACAGATGTATTTACAAGGCTGGACCCTCCTCCCTTTGCTTTCAAACACCCATCTGACAGTCGCATTTGTAGAAAATCTCTAGAGATAGCCCTAAATGAGGATAATCACATCTCTTACTTGCCCATGGCTGTTCAGAGCAAAAACATCTGCTCATTTTAGACTTCAAAGGGAGAAGAGAGGATGCTTTGTTCAAGAAAAAAATGTATCCTTTATATTAGTAGTGCCTTGAAGTCTAAGCAAAATCAAAGGTCTGTTGGATTAAGCCCCTTAAAGAGATGCATTTACCAAGATTAAGATGAAGAGAGTAGAAAGAAGACAGGAAAAAGGATTCTCATGCCAATATTTGTTGTAGGAGTGCAGAGAGGCTAAACGAGCAAGAGGGAGTCTGTGGGAGAAGCTCCGAACCCCTGTGTCCAACATCCTCAGCTCCTTAAACTCTTCCTCTTGGCAGCTCTGGGTGACCACACTCCTCCCCATCCCAGCCACACATCCCTGTGGCTACATCACTTGCCCCCGCAGTGCACCCCTGTGCTCCGAGGACCTGGCCAGGATTTCCCGTGCCTCAGAGCCTCCCCTTCCACCAGCAGCGCATGGTGATGCCGCACATCACCCCACGCAGCAGTGCCTGAACACAGCATGAACATGCTGCCAGAGGAGAAACTTGAGAGCGCTGCATGGGCTGGGCCTGTATTTGGATGGTTAACCACATGTTTCAGATGCTACAGGAAATAATAGAAACACAGGGCTTCATCATGGCTACGTGCTTTAAGGATGTCCTAATGTGCTCATCAGGAGTCTCTTAAAGCAAAACTTTCTGCACTCACAACAGCCTGAACTGTACACATCTTGCATTGACTCAAGGGAACTATTTCCACATTAACTTGACTAAAAAAAAAAGTGTCTTCTCTAACAAAAGCAGGATTTTAAGAGGCCAAATTGCTCATGGAAAGTTTCTTCCACAACAGAGCAATTGGGTCAAGTGTGTTTTAATTCTGTGTAGACAACTGGACAAGGTCATTTCCCCCCCATCCTTTAAAGCTGTTTTTTTTCACAGAACCAGCACCTCATCCAAGAAGCTGCCAAGCACCAGCACCACCCAAACACCTACAGCAAGGTTGTTTTGCTTCGTAAAGCCACACTGTCCTTAAGGATCTGGAAAGAACCCATATTTGAAAAATAACCTGGAAGATCCTTCTCCCGAGAACTGTTGATTCAGAGGCTCTGCACCACCCTCAAATCCCATCCCTTCCAGACTGTATTGCACAAACCTGCAGCTTCAGCAG